TTTTAAAACGCCCTTTTTTTTTTTAAACCCTCAATTTTTGATTCGATTTAATATCCAAAGGTTTTGGCTTGGGGCCCAAATAGCTCTCTTATTGCAAGTGGAAAATCCCTTTAAAATTTGGGGCAACCCCAGTTTTTTCCCCGGGGGAAATAGAAAGGGATGAAATCATAAAAGAAATTTTAACTTTATCAAAAAGTTTAGATTTAAACAGTTTTTAAAATTTTTTGCACTTCCATTAAAATAGGTTATAAAAAAAAAAATGAATCCCCCTTTTTTTTTCTTTAAGGGTACATTCCACACTTTTTCGCTGGTGGCACTTTTCACTTTGTCTTTTTAAATTTCAAAGTGTTTCTTAAAATTCACTTTTGCTTCAAATTTCTTTAAACCCGTTTGGTTTTCCACTGAGGCATTATCGTACCAATTACAGCCAAATTCTTCAAGCCTAACTGTTGCGGATTAAAGCGTCCTTCAGTTCCTTAACTATACTTTCTTCATCACACTTTTCAAATTGAACTAGTCCAAGATTTTTACAAATCGATCAAATGGTCACAGTTTGAAATTGCGTAGTGACAAATTAATAACATTGCGACTGATACTTCAACTTTTGATGATTCATTTATCAGTAAGAACTACAGAAAGCCTCGCTAAACATGGAAGAGAAGCGCGCTTTTCAAAGCCAAGAAGCACTGTTTAATATAAATGCAGCAGAGATAGTCTTAGTATCGACTTCACTGCAATCGGGTCTTCCCCATGCTTGCTTAGTTCCTGTACCAGTGAAAATCAAATGAAAAGTCCTTCAATGTCCCATTTGAACAACTGTTCAACAAACAATTAGTCCCGGCACGATCCAGAAATATTCGCTGGAAAGATCACTGGTAGAAGAGGCAGGGGCAGACCAGTAGAAATGATGGTGAACAGCTTAAGAAAGTGGTTTGAAGGAATATCTTCAACGGAATTGATCTAGAACACTAAAGACGAACTTTAAGGCGATGCATGAACGCCTACGCCATCTGGCAAGGCACTTGATGATGATATATTTTTAAGTTTTCTGAGATTAGCTGGTGTATTTTGAAAAGGTATGGCCTCATGGCTTTATACAGCTTAAGGCATCATCACATCTAAATCTAGCCCTGACTAATGCTTTTTTATTTTTATTTTAATAATGTTGATGTATTTTTTTTTACCAAATAGAGACGCTTATAAAAATAGCGCTAAAACAAACAGATAATCGTAATAAAATAATTTAAAATTAAATAAAGCAAAACAAGCAGTTTTGTTGCGGAACAGCAAAAACTCTTATTATAGAATTTAGTCTGTTTGCTTACATGATTAATCATATTTCCTGGTAATGTTTTGCGACACTAATGGCGTTTTCCTAAGGAGAACACCCCCATACATCTGGAAATATCCCAGAGTGACATTTTTAAATATGTGTACGGTAAACACTGTTTACTGAAGTTGAAGGTTAGCTAAATATAGCAAGGGTCATCAGTCATCCGCTGGCACCCCGAAAGCCAAACAGGACACATGCAGCCACGCTAATAGTTGCACACTTGTTCCTGTCCTCTTTAAGTTGACGTTTCCTTCTAGTTAAGACAAATGAATTAAGCTTGGTTTAACATATGACTTTGTTGTGCTTGAATCGCCTAAAATCTGACATAGTGTATGTGCCCTTACCTGCTAAGGTATCGGTCTAGGTTCAATCATCAGTGAATGGATTTTTTTCCCCCTACCGCTACAATACTTTAGTAACTGCTCAAATATGAAATGAATCTGGTTTGTGTCAGTAGTGACTTCCTTCGAGACTTCAACTACCATCTTCAAGTCGGGCCCATCTAAAGTATACATACACACACACATACAAACATGCATACATACATTAGACACACACATACACACATGCATACATACATGTGGCGCCTCCCCCCCCCCCCCCCCCTCGGCGATAGGCATTTTTTTTCCAACACTACTCAAATAGAAAGAAAAAGAAGTAGTAGAAAACTTTGCCACAACAAGACGATCTCCATCTGATGGAGATGGTCTTGACCACAGTATCCCTAAAGAGAATTTTTAACCAATCCTCCAAGCCAACTTCCGCCGTTGCGGGCCAGATTTCCAACACACCCCATGCTTCAACAATACGTTTAGATAACACAGTGCGAAACATGAGTTATTTAACACCCCTTTATCCAACACTGTTTTATCAAGTGAGCATAAACTACTGATAATATTCATAAACGGATATTATCTTGAGCGCGGACTTTTTTGCAAGGCTTAATATAGAAATATGATGTAATATTTTGTTGTCATTCTAGTAATCCTAGAAATTTAAATCAGATTAATCCCCTAGCTTGTGGTAAAATTTAAATAGCATGAATTGAATCGGGACAGTTCCTACAAATGCCAGACTAATGTTGTTTTCTTCATAAAAACCTTCAGCTGGATCTTATATAGCGACAAACATAATTTGCGGATTTGTGTATAAGTTTTCACGGCTGTACCATATACGAGTGCTAACTCTGCAACTTTAATTTACATTTGAAGAGAGCTAATTTACTTTAGGTATTAGAAGGTAAGTTTAGGTTAGGATTCATGAGATAGAAGTTTGGCTAGATTGGCAATAACTAAATGAAATATTTATAAAATACAGTGAGCGAAAAATAGGAAAATAATTACGCGCAAAAGCAGAGTACCATATATATATATATATATATATATATATATATATATATATATATATATATATATATATATATATATATAAGCCAAAGGAAATGTGTGCTTGGAAAGAGTTTTAATGGCCCGTACAAAAGGTGGGGAAAAGGGGGGGGGGGGACAGAACTTGAAAGTTGTATTTAAAAAAAAATAAAAAGAGATAAGTGAAATATTTCGATCACAGTAAGAGTTACACAAAAGATTTGAAAAAGAAATAGACAATGTAGCAGACGGTGAAGAGATAATATCCAGGCCGACCTACAAACACTGGCAGTCACTAACCGGAAAAAGAAGGTCAGTCACAGAGATGGGTGGATGCAGGGTGATATCTTCAACAATGAATCTGAAGATCTCGAAATACTGACGAAAAAGATCAATCAGAAGAAGAGGAAGTAATAAACAGCCACTGAACCTTATTTCATCAATTTATTACTAGAACTAACATTCATATGTAGAGGAGTAGAGGATGCTCATGCTATCTTTGAAGAAGTTTCCCATAAAGATCAAATCAAGGAGAATGATCAGTTATTACACTAATGGAATACAAAAACCAACAGTTAATGCAAAAAAAAAAAAAAAAAGTAAATATATTTTTATAGACCAACGGCACAAGATGGGTGATGTGGTCAGCATCACGCCGGCCACTTCTACTTCCCGGGACTGCACCCGGTACCCACTCAAGGCTGGGTCGACCTGGGAGCCAAGGTAATTTTTGAAGAAAAGTCCGGCTCCGCCAGGGAGCGAACCCACGACCTTCCGATTCGCGTTTAGCCGCTCCACCACGGCGACTCCCCAACAGTTGAATGACATAATGTTAATAAGATTGTCTATTAATAGTACAATATCTATCATAATCACAACCCACATCAAAGCAATATGTGAAACGATACAAATTACAATCGGTCATTGAAATAATAACGCGATAAATAAATAAAAAATAACAAATATATACTCTGAGAACTCGTTTAACTCTTTCAATCCCAGAAGGTCAAAGCTGATGCCAAAATGAGGCAATAACTAATCACAACAGCAAACTCATGGGCATACTACATCCACAGGAGCTAAATACACAACCCTTGTAGGAGTCTTGTGTGTTGTTGGGTGTTTTACTATGCCGTGTCTGAACACGAAATGACAAGCAAAATAATATTCGCAAAATAATATTCTGACTTGTGCATATGAGTAAATACAGTCAAACATAAAACATTGTTTGGGACTCAATGAGTTAACACAATATATCCCAGTTATAGCCCTGAGAGTTGAACAGGATATTTTATAATCAAAAGTACTATAATCATCTACTGGTTCCCAGTTATATAAACCCTGGGGATTCCTTTTATTTTCAAAGATGTGTCACCAACCCAATGCTTTTATATACTTGCACCGACAAACTTACTATAATTGATAATTATTATTATTATTTTTATTGCGAAAAAAACATTAAATATTTTTTTATTTATTCTGAAGTTGATGGGGTGTTTTTGTACACAGTATCACAGACCCCTTAAATCTCCCCCCCCCCCCCCATATTAGGCATATAGGGCTAGATATATTTTATAGACCTATCAGCACTCGGCGGGTGATGGGATCAGCATCACACCGACCACCTTTACTCCCTAGGACTTTACCTGGTACCCATTTGAGGCTGGGTCGACCTGGGAGCCCAAGTCATTTTTTTTTAAGGAAAACAGTCTGGTTTCTCCTGGACCCAAACCCACAACCATCTGATCCGCAGGCGAGCATCTAGCCGCTACACCGTGGTGTCTTCCACTGTACATATAGCCAGCGTTTTTTTTTTTTTTACATTTTTAGAAAAAAGAAGGTACAGGTACTCGTCGCAGAGTCTAAAAAAGAAAGGTTCCAGAACTCACTATGAAGTGTAAATTACAGTACGCTAAAGAGATGATGCATAAAAAGGTGCTGTGCCGAGCACCCTTGCATAAATTAAAATTTCATTGCGTATCAATTACAGGATGGTGCAGAACCAACCTCAGCATTTGTGTAGTGCTGTTTGTGATTTCTCCAGACAATTTAGTCATTCACATTCAGTATGGACACAAATTTCCCAGCATGCCCCAGTAATTAACATGGCTTTGATGTTTGTCACTTCAGTTTGAATAGCATTAAACAAATGTGCAATTTTTTTTCATCAAATAAACAGGTGATGCATGTGCGTGGCCACTTTGTGAACATGGAGACAGATCCAGGCTACCCCAGTGACAGCTCTTCTGTGTTCATGGCCGTCTGCTCCCCTCTGATCACCCCAGAGGTGAAGGAGAACCTGGTACAGAACAACACAATGGTCTTCAAGACCGTGCATAACCTTGACATGACCTTCCTAGAGGTTAGCAAGAGGTACGTTTTGTTGTGTTGCTAAACAGTAGTTTCATCACACAGATATACTTAAGTGTGTTTTGCTAAAATGTCACATTCATCAAACACATATTCTTAGGTTTGTTTTGCTAAAAAGTCACATTCATCTCACACAATACTTAGGTTTGTTTTGCTAAAAAGTCACATTCATCTCACACATATACTTAGGTTTGTTTTGCTAAAAAGTCACATTCATCTCACACATATACTTAAGTTTGTTTTGCTAAAAAGTCACATTCATTACGCACATATACTTAGGTTTGTTTTTCTAAAAAGTCACATTCATCACACACATATACTTAGGTTTGTTTTGCTAACAAGTGACCATCATCACACACATATACTAAGGTTTGTTTTGCTAAAAAATTACTTTAATTAAATACGTATACTTAGGTTTTTTTGGCTAAAAAGTCACATTCATCACATGCATTTATTTAGTTTTGTTTTGCTTAAAAATACTTTCATCACATACATATATTTGGTTTTGTCTTGCTAAAAGGTCATTTTCGTCTTCTTCTTTTGTTGTCTCACTGATATCAGGTTGTAGCCCAGTGTCGTGGTTTTCTGTATTTGTCTTGCGCTTCTTCGGTGATGGATTTGCTAATCTTTTTTTTTTTTTTTTTGCAGGCTTCAGCTACACCATTTATTTGTCTCTTTCTTGGTATTCCTCTCGCCTTCCTCCCAAATGTTCTGCTGTAAAGTCTCATATGCAGTTTGGTCTAGCTGCATTCTCACTAGACGGCCGAACCATTTAATTAAATGTCTGTCAATTTAATTCAGACATGGTCTTGTTCCAGCTTTCTCTGTAATGCTGGTATTCATAACTCTGTTTCTTCTTCTGTTGTTAGTGACCTTGCAGAGACAGCACATTTCACATATAGTTATTTTATATAAACATTTCCTTAGTAACTAATAATGTAAAGGGGGGGAGAGAACACGTCATATTTTAGCTGGAATTTAAAGGAAAGTGGCATTCACACATCATATTTTGTTTGGGACTGAAAGATTGTAGTTGAGTATGACTTGAAGACAGTGCTTGGGATCTTTCAGGGGTGTCCCTGCTGAGAAAAATCAGATCAGCTTCAGTGAATAAATACAGAATGACAGCTATTACAGTAAGCTTATATATAACAAATACCTATGTAAGATGGCCAAAAACAGGCAACTGACATCAGTGAAAAATAAAAAAAATTGCCTAGTTTAATCATGTGACTCTCCATAAGCAATATTTTCCATCCCCTAACCTTAATAAAGGATCATATTTACACCAGTGGTGCTTCAGTGAATGGTACTAGACTCAGTCGGCACTTGGTGGCTGATGTGAACAATATCATGCTGGCTGCCTTTACTTCCAAGGACATTACCTGGTATCCATTTAAGGCTGGGTCAATCTGGAAGGCAGTGTCAAGCTTCAACAAGTCAAATAAATCTTAACAAAATTGTAACCCAAGACCCGTGAGCCCACTGGCTAACATCTAATCACTATGGCTCCCTCTATTCTTAAATGAACCTTGCTTTTTTCTTGTATATTTTCTTTTTGTAACCAGACCGTTTATAATAATGTTTGGTCCATTTACAACCATAATTCATCTTAATTAAACTTCAAATAAATATGAGAAAACATATTGTCTTATACCCAGAAAAATACAGTTATTATCACACCATATTTTGTTTATCTTCCTGCCACAGTGGAGAATACCACCTTGGCTGCACAACTCATGATCTGAAACAGAAATCATGGTATTCTTTTATTCATCCAGAAGATATTCTGGAGGCTAAAGAAAAGCATGCTCATTGTGAGTATCTGAGTAATTCGATAAACTGTAGTGAAATTATTTTATTGTTTGTTCACCATTATGTAGCAGGTCCAATACAGATCACCTCTCTCATCACAGCCCACCTGAAATCAACTCAGGCTCTTACCTGCTCTTCCACCTCACACACTTTTATACTTTAAATTCCAACCCCCCGCCCAACACCCTGGATATTGTGGGGATGGAGAGTGCTAAGAAAGGACTTTCGTTGAATATTAATAGTTTTATCAAAGAAGAAAATAACTCCACGTTGTGATATCTCATTTGAAGGAAAAAGACTTAACCAAGTCTATAAATTCAAACATCTAGGAAGATCATCAGATGGAAAATGTGTGACAGAGATTAAAAGCAGAATAGGGCAAGCAAAAGCTGCATTTCAGAAAATGACAAATATCTTATGTGATAAATTGCTCTTATTTAAATAAAAAAAAGGGTGCTAAAATGTTACATAAAACTGTTCTACTATATGGCAGCGAATCTTGAAATGTAAGTGAATAAATTAAAAAGAATTTGGAATGAACAGAGATAAGCTAATGAAAGTAGATCTCTATATACAACAATAAGAAAGTGCTAAACACCCCATCCGTTCTTTTCAGGCGCTTGATATAGTCAACATATTTCATTTTCAGAAACAAAATGCTGTTTGCTAGGCAGTGTACTTTGAGATTCAGGTCTTTTAGAATGTCAGTATTTCTTTTTGTTTTATTCCGTGGTATACTGATAATCTTTCAGCCCAGAAGACCCCATTTTCTTGCTGAATGATTGTGATATAGTCAGTGACTCACACTGGTTTGTTGCTACAGAATTTTGACTTTTGATTTTCTTGCTGGTACTAGGCCATTGTCTTTTATTGCCGTTTGATCTTTGCATTGCTATTACAGAGTGTCACAGAGCAGGACACTCACTTGCCGTGGCCATCTAAAAAGGTTGCCAAAGGCTATGGGCATGGATGTGAAATGTGGCTATGTGGATGTGGAAAGCATTGGGAAACTAAAACATTATTATTTGAAGAAGTTAGGAAATTTAAAATCTTCTGATAGTTCAGGATGAGAGGCATTGGTCTTTATGTCTGGCCATAGTCGTCTGTCTTGTATACTTAAATAATTTATGATGTCAAACTGTTGAAAAAAAATTCTGTCTCTCTCTCTCTCTCTCTCTCTGTCCCTCTCCCTCTTTCCCTCCAACGTTTTTGTTGTTACTGTGTACTATAGCTTTTCCTCATGGATCATTAGTCTAAATCCAATTCGAAGTAAATCTTCCTAAGCTTTGTCACCTCTTGCAGCTCACTTTATGACCTCTGCATCTTTTTTTTACCAGTGTCTAATTCCATCAGTGTGGATGATTTGTCTCTGTTTATTTTGTGGGTTTTAGTACAAGAGAGACATTCTAGTTAATTATTATTGTTTTTTTTTCCCCTTCTTGTATGTCTTAATCAAAGTCAGCATCTTTTCCTCACTTCTTGATTCCCTTAAATTTGATTAGTTCCCTTCTGTCATCCCAGTGATCACTGAGGGTGCTGTAGTTATTTGAAACCACCTGTCATCAGTATGACCTTCACAGACACATGATTCTGTTTGCAGTGGTGCGGTCAAACCATGAAATAGGCTGCATGCTGACCATGCGTATGCTCAGATTTGATGGCAGCTGTTTCTGGGTCAACAGTGCAATGCATTTACGACAGGCATGTCTGGCACAGAATGAAGAACCACATATTGTCTGTATCAATCAAGTTATTGAGTAAGTATAGTTTTTTTTTGCATGCATTTTGCTCTCATTAATTGCTTAATAAAATATTTCAGTTGAATTTGGTTTTTTAAAACGATTGGAAATTGTACAGTATATACTCTAATAAAGGGAGTTGCCATGGTGTAGCGGCTAGATGCTCACCTGCTGATCAGAACATCATGGGTATCAGGTATAGTCTTTGGAAGTAAAGGCGGGATACTGACTACATCACCCACCTAGTGACAATTAGTCTATTAAATATAGGTATGGCACTATGTACCAATATACCTTATGACATGTAAAAGGGTTCTGTGAAAAAAATATACTCTAATAAGAGTACTTTGAAGCAATGATTATTAAAGTTTTGCATGAAAATAAGTACATGTATCTTAAAACAGACATAACACTGGCAGAAAAAAACCTTGTAAACATTGGAGCAAGAATCACCATGGTAAAAGTTGCTTTGTTTGCAATGTGGGAAACACAAGGAAAAAAGTCTAAGCTTCAGTGGGGTAAAAAGACGTTAATGGCTATATAGATTATATACTGCTGTTTACATGTGAAACATAGACAGCTTCAATGAGGTAACAGAGTTGAATGGCTATATACATCATATGCTGCTGTTTGCATGTGAAACATGGACAGCTTCAGTGAGGTAACCGAGCTGAATGGCTATATATAGACAATAAGCAGATAAGCTGAAAAACATCTGACAGCGGCATTGTAATCTTTAAAGAAAATATATAGAACTGAACAGATGGACAGCGAAACAGTTGATGTTTTTCAAGAAACAGATGAAAAGTGATTGATTAGAATAATTTGGTATAGACTGTAAACATATTCTGAACATGTAATGAGAAGAAATAAACTTGAAAACTTAGCGACCGGCAGAACTGATAAGAAAAGAATAAGGTAAAGGCAAAGAGATAAATATCTGGATAGCTTTGACAGAACAACATGACAGGGATGCAGAATAAAGAATACATAAATTTAATAAAGTATATAATTGATGTGTAGTACTAGAGCTGAATTTTGGCTCCAGCATTGAGCCAGCCTGAAACAGGTTATGTTGTGGGAAGTAAAGATGTTCAACATGATATTGATGACATCATCCATCAAGTATTGTTGTTTGCGTTCACCAGCTGTAAACTCCAACGGAAAAACCTGGTTGTTCATCCATTTCTGGACTTTGGCTTTGTTATAGGACCTGAATTTTGCATGTCCATCTGTTTTACTGCTCTTGCTTATTTGTATCCAGACTGTTGGTTCCTTGCCTCTCAGGCAGATGTACTCTGACTTAAAAGGAAGGCCCCCCCCCCCTCCAAATTAGTTGACTCTTACCAAATCTTTTTTGGGAAGGCAGTGGGTCTATTCTTGTTTTCCCCACAGTGGGACCCCTGTTTGCACATGGGGACCATCAAGTACTGAACTTGATTAAAATTTATTTATAGCACCATGTACACAATTGGCCAGGTGTGGGGAAAGCCCTTTTACTTTTTAACTAGAGCTGAATAAAATTATTTGATCATATTAAAAGATATAATTGTCTAGAAAACCCACTGTGCTAAGTCTGTAGCCATCATTATGTTAAACTTGCATAATTTCTTTATTTCAGAGAGCATGAAGCATACCAAGTTCAAGGTCACATGTTCTCCTTGTACCCTAGCCGCACCAATGAGCTGTGGGGGAGCCACCTGGCTGCTGTTTCATCTCCAAATACTGATATTTTAGGTGGTCAGTGGATGCCACAACAAGTGCTGAGCTCTGATCCTAATTACTTAACCCACCTTCCTAACTATATAGAACACCCACCCTGTCCTGATGTATTCACTTCAATGAGGGAGTCCAGTAATAAACCAGTGGCCGACTGCCATCTCCAGAGTCCCAGTTCTGTTGTACAGTTGAATCAACTGAAGGTGATGCTGAAGAGAAAGATCCAGGGATCGCAGGTGAAACCTGCAGTTTCTGCAAAGTTGGCCAGAATTAATTGGGACACTGATGGTTTCGTAAGAGGATCTACCTACTCAGATGTCAACCAGGAAGCGTCTCATAAAAAATTCTACTCCCAGGTTTCAGTTCCCTCATTTGATGATTGTCAGAGCCAGATGGTGCAGGGCTTGCAGTCGGTTTATGTTGCCAATAAAACATCCTCCAAACCATACTCCTTTATGACTATGCCTAAGAAAGTTGATGAGCAGGTAGTTCCAGATTCTTATCTCACACCAGACCCCTCACCAGTTTCATCACCAGAACCTTTACGGAGTAGTATGAATACGACAGATTTTATTAATAACAAAAAGGAGACCATCCATGGAAAATCCTCAATTAACATCCTCCAGGCACTAGAAAAGCTTGCCGCCCATCCTCACATGAACACGGAGATGAAGGTTCCAGTTGTTAAGGAAGCAGAACTTCCCATTCTGAATGCCTTTGACGTTGATATTTTTTTCGAAGCAGTTTCTGGAGAATTCCAGTCAAAGACATCAAAAGTAATGGAAACCCATGTTAAATGTGAGATCAAGAGGGAACTACCGGCAGAACCAGTTTTGGCTACAAACATCCCCAACTTTGCAGCTTTGAAGGATGAAGCATTAAGTCCCTTACCATGTGACTTCTACCAGAATCAGAACAATGTCCTCTTACAACCTCTGCCCCAATCCCAGATTCCAACTCAAATGAAGCCCGTTTTTCAGTCTGAGAATCAACAGCAAAGACAACTCTCTTTCCACTCACAGTTTCAAGGCCATATTCAGTCCTCCACCCAGTCTCAAATTCAACCCACATTATTTCCCTCCTCCCAACCTCAGATTCAGCCCTCATTCCAGTTACAAATTCTACCCCACACCAAATCCTCCTCAAGCCAGGTACAGCCCCAGCCTCCAACACAAACCTCATTCTTTTCCAAGCATCAGTTTTCATCAGAAACTAAGATCCTGCCTCAAATAAAACTTTCTAAATGGTGTCTGCCACCAAGCCCTGAAGCTTCTGTCATGTCCTGTCCAGGCACTGATGTTCCAACTGAGGTACCTGAGTTCCATTCAGACGCTTGTGACTATATGAAAGGTGCAAACATATCCCTGTGCAGATCAGCTGCGTCACAGGAAACTATTGATGATCTGATGACCTACCTTTCTGACGATAGCCTGGATCAGATGAAGACTGATCCAAACAACTCACCCGGATATGAAACACAGGATCTCAGTTCTGAGAAGACCTACCTTAAATCCTTTTATATGGAGAGCTCCACTTGTCACAAACTACTTCAGACAGCCACACGTCTGCCAGAAGAGTTCAGTCCACAGTCAAGCACATCCACAATGGAGATTGATTTCTTTGATGAATGTCCTGACTTTTCCTTTGAAAGGAAGATGAATTTACCCGACAGCCGGAATGAGATGCCACTTATCAACGGCAATGTTTCTGGCATGTCTGATGACTTCAGATTGGACTTCATCTTTGATTCATTCTCAGCTACACAAGGTAAAGCTTCCGCATTTTGAAAATACATCATGTAATTATTTGTGAAGATGTTTAAAAGTCAAGAAGATTGACTAGCAAGTCATATGATTATGATACAAATATATAAGTTAAAGTTGAGATGATCAACTTCATTGCACCAAGTGATCCCATATAGAAGCTCTACCATCCTCTCCAAAATGATATCATAGGGCTCTGTAGAGGGAAGGAGGAGAAGAGTTCGACCAAGAAAGACCTGGATGCAGAATTTAGCTGAATTGACAGACCTGAAATATGCAAACGCAAGTTCAATGCATCTCACTGACAGAGGTGGAGGGACCTGATCAGACAGTCAACAGCGACTGGTGGCCCATCAACAGTTGGTGTTATGGGACTGATGATGGTGATCCCACATAGCTAAGTCTCTTTCCCCAGAATGGTTAGCCATCCTCAGAGTGTCATAGAAAGCACAAACTCCATAGCTCCAGGGATGTAAAACTACACTCATGAACCGAATTTTTCTGAACCTATCCATAAAGCAAACTCATGAATTTCAAAGTAGATTGCAAATAGTTTGACCATTTCACCACAGTAACCCCAGATAATGATACATTTATTATACTTTTTAAATGTTTAAAAATTGCTTAACAAAAGATGATGATTACTGTAGACATTTGTATTTTTAATCAGAAAAATACCCACGTTATGACAATTTCTTATTTTAATGAGGTTCTTTTCCATTTCTTCTTTTTCAGATTCTTTGGAGATGACCAAACACAGCCAGTAGGCTCCTGCTTATGTAATGCCGTTCTCGTGTTACATACCACTTTTCGTAAAGTATGGCATATTGTCATAATTTGCTGCGGGAACAGCAAAGATTACCTGGGCTAACTTTTCACTGCTGGTCAGTGCAGAAGGTAGTCCTGGATATTTATCACGAAGCTGCAGGACGGCCGAGAGATGACCAGTGCCTGGCTGCTGGACAGTCAGTTCCTGGGTTGTTTCAAGTATCACAGACTTTCATTTCTACCACAGCATCAATCAGCTTTGAGAGATAACATTTGCCTGCCTGCCAGATAGGCCGTCAGAGATCACTTCTCCTGTCACAAATTTTTGTTTTGTCAGGCACCACACATGCTGTACACGTCTCTGACGGACAGCCAGTAGCTGTTTGCTGGACTTTCAGTAACTGGCTGTTTCAGACTTATCATTCTGTCTTAACACCTCTGAGTGTTAGATTGTGCCTGCCTGTTGAACAACCACGCATGAAGTTTCACCATCACAACAGTTATATTATGTGTTATGAAAAACAGCTAGTGCTTGTTTTGCCGGGCATTCAGTCTCTGGCTGTTTAACAGACATATTGTTCCGTATTAAATCTCAAAATGTTAGCTTGCCGAACAGCCAGGCATGTAGTTTCCCTCGATCAACAAATGTCTTATGTTCTCTGAAGAACAGCCAGTGATTGTTTGCTGGACGTTCAGTCACAGGCTGTTTCTAACATCGCAGACCTATCATTTAGCTTCACATCTCTCATTGTTATCTTGTGCTTCCCTCTTGAACAGTCACCCATAAAGTTTCCCCACCACCACAAATACATTATATACTCTGAACAACAGCCAGTGCTTTTTTTTTTGGACATTCAGTCACTAGCTGTTTGTAAAATTTAAATCTTTCATTCTGATTTACAATTCTGATGTTTAGCTTTTGCCTGCCTGTTAAACAGCCAGGCATAAAGTTGCTCTATTATCACTAATTTTGTTTTATAATTGCACAAGAGCTTAATTCATCTGTATGAGATAACCAGTGTTTGTCTGCTGGCCAGTCAGATATTGAGTTGTTTCTAGTATCACCGACTTGTCTTTTTGCCTCACAGTAAGTACCATACATCTCTGAGAAATTGGTGACACTTCCATTATGAAAAGATTTGTTGTCACAAACCGTTTACTGTCTGTAACACATCAAATGCACTTAACAGATCTGTGAGATTACTAGTGCCTTCCTGATAGTTAGTTTATCATGAGGTTTCTCAAGCATTACAAATCTTGCCACTATCATCTCTGAGTTACACTTGTCTGTTTGGTGGACAATGTCATGCCTTTCACTTTCATCACAATTTTCTTCATTGAAAATGTTTTAACTGAGTTTCAAATTATTTACTATATCTTTCATTGTAAGTTGATTATCTAAAGAGTCTATCTGAAAGAGTGACCAACATATCACAGTTTATTTGATTTATTACCATAATACATGTAACTGACATCAGTAACTCAGCTTTCAGCTATATAACTCTGCCAGCAAGACTAGTATTTGTTATTGGAACTCATTTTTATAGTTTAATTATAAGAAAGAAACAAAGGTTTCTTTTTTATTGGGGGGGGGGGGGGGAAACATGTGACGAAATGAAGGCATTGGAGAATCAGTTGTATACAAGAAGACAGTTGAGTAGCAGAATATCGTCAATAGAATTGATTGAGAACACCAAAGACTAACATCTGGAGAAAGACACATACGCCAGTGCCCTCTGGTGAGCCACATGATGGTAATATTTGTTCTCTGTATTTCTCACAAATGTGGATTGCTGGTTTTTTTTTAAAATTAATCTGTTGTATGAACATTTCACTTGATAATAATATCACACCTCCATTTTAATAGGACATTTTCTTAAGACAGTTCTACCAGTAGCTTCATTTTTTTGTTAAGCCGCCGCATTTAATTATTTCAAAGTAGATTAAACATGTTTGCCTTATTTCATAATTGTCACAAACCTTATTTCATAAATGTCACAAACCTTTTTTCATAATTGTCACAAGCTTTATTTCCTAATTGTCACAAGCCTTATTTCATAATTGTCACAAGCCTTTATTCAAAAATGGTCACAAGCCTTACTTACTTCATAATTGTCGCAAGATTTATGTCATAATTGTCACAAGATTTATGTCATAATTGCCACAATATTTATGTCATAATTGCCACAAGCACTATTTCATTATTTTCACACACATTGTGTCATATATGTCACAAGACTTATTTCATAATTGTTACATGTCATTTTGTGGTAATTGTCACACACCTTATTTTAAAATTGCCTGTACAGTTTGTGATAATTGAAATCATGTTCACATTATATCATTTAGCTGTGAAATTCACGTGCATACATTTTGCCTGTTATAAATGAAAATTCTAATTACAAAATCTAGGTTTAAACTGGTCAGGGGGAGACTAAGCTAAAAATAATTTACAAGTTACCTCCATTTTTTCCAGTAGTCAGTCTATTGAAAAATTTTTTTTTTTTTTTTAAATTGTAAAAATGGGTTTCGAAAAACATGAATCAAATTAATGTAAAACTATATAATTCAGATGCCAGGTAAAAAATTTAATGGTGACCAAGTGCTATGGTAATTGTCTGCCTCTGAATATATTTATTCTTAGATTCACACGAAAAATTAATAGAAAAAGACAGCGATCATTTTCCCCCCAATCTGACCTTTTGTCAAAAATGACTTTAGATCCCATGTTGACCCAACATTAAATGAGTACCAGGTAGTCCTGGGAAGTCACGGCAGTCGGCGTAATATTGATCACATCACCCACTGAGTGACTACTGGTCTATAAAATATCATTCTAGCCCTATAAACCTGGAGGCATGGAAAGGGGGTCCTTTACTGTTTATTTTTTTTTAAATAACTTTTATGGCTCAAGATTTTATTGTGGTCAGTTTTGTAGTTTAAATAGAATGATCTTTTGCTTTCGTGTAAGGAGGTTCATTTGGTATTTGGGATTATGCTCTGACAACAGGAACTTCATATCAAGAGGGACTGGTTCATAGATAGTATCTTACTGACTGACTTTCTACCCCACCAGGACATCACTCAAGCGATAAACACCCGATGACACAATGTGCCACCATGTGGATGAGGATCACCGTGGAGAGGTCCCAGAAACCGTGTTCAGCCATTAGGCCATATTTGTGGCCAGGCTATATAGCGGCCCCTGGCATGAGCCAGAGTAGGGCTTCAAATAAAAAAATTGCACCCTAAAAAGGACGGCAAGACTAGTAAAGGCAGTATCATTCTCAGAACCTGAAATACTTCAGCCATTTTAACATTTCAGAGTGAACAGTAAAGAAATGTATGGTTCCTAGAAGAAAAGGCAGGAATAAACCAAGTTAAAGGTGGATTCAGGATATAACTACATCATGAATGTTCATGAGAAGGAAAAACTGGAAAAGGCAGGGATGGACTAAGATGATGGTGGATTCAGAAAATTAAGTAAACACTGATCATGAAACTGCATGAGGTGGAAAAACTGACAAAGGACTGAGTGGATTTTCAGCCTACTGTGATGAGAATGATGTTGTGCAAATGATTTGCTGAGTGATGATAATCTTTCATATATAATTCTTCTTCTTTGTGTTCACTGGCTGTAAACTTCAGCAGAAAGTTCTGGTCTTTCGTCCACTTCAGGACTTTAGTCTTGTTCCAGAACTTGAGTTTTGCATGCACATCTGTTTTACAGATCTGGCTTATTTGTAAGCAGATCGTTGGTTCCTTGTCCCTCAGGCATATGCTGTCTGACTGTGAAGGAACATATATAATTTAAAACGATGTTCATACCGATGGTAGATTGTGACACCCATGTAAATTTGCTATGCTCAATAATTTATTGTAAGCTTCGGTAACTTTGACAAATACCTCTCCAATGTTAAATTTGTTGTTGTGACATTGTTTCATGTTGTAATTAAGTGAGGTATGTCAGATGTTGTATCATTGTAACTTTGAAACACTGCATTTAGCTTAGTGAAACAATGTAATGTTCTGTCATTGTTTTTGTGTGAATTTGGCCAACCCTAGTTTTATTGTCCTAAATGTAACGACATAACTCTAATTATTACATTCTGGCCAGGCCAAGAAGTTTTGTCTCATTCATGAGAGCCCAGAGTTCTTAACCATTCGGCCAGCCACTCTGTGAGAAACTAAATAAAATTATAAAATTGATAACTGAAGATTACTTAAAGCAGTTTTTTTTTTTTTTTTTAGTGAAAAAAAAAAATGAAGAAAAAAAAGTAAGTATTTTAACTGTTTGTTTTTCACCACGCTGGTCATGCTAGTGAGAAAACAAAGTATGAATTTTGCTACAGCCCGACAAATTGTATGCTGGTCATGCAGTTAGGGTTTAGTTAAAGTATACACAATTCTTTAAACAATATAGCTGCATTGTTTAATTTGTTAGTCTCATAAAGTTTTGCAGTAGATGTCCTATGAGGCACATAATCAATATGACAAATCACAGTTCTGTTATTTTTAAAGAAGCTTGATGTACAATGCATGTGAAAGCCAATTTTCCTCAGTGTGCTGAACCAAATTTGAACAGTAAGAAAACACATGATGCAATGATTGTTATTATATGGAAGAGTCAGTATAAACACCACGCCTTGCTTGGGACTTCAAGAGTTGATGATAATGTTATTGCTTGTTTTTTGTACACCATATTTTATTGTAATTTATGAATCATTTACTACTGTTTTATTTTGCAATGTGGACAAAAACACTGAAATGTGTGCACTTCATGCTTGTTATTTATATATAGTTGACATTTGGAAATCTTTTATGTGTTTATTTTTCGCCAAATCAGTTTAATTTAATTAGAAATAAATAGAGTATATTTTGTAGTCAGTGCATAGCATGCAGGCATGCTGTGTGAAACAGGACTATATTATATTCTATGCAAATTTTATTTCAGCCTTTGGATATGTTTCAAAAATGTTTATTTAATTGATTATATAAT